CTTACCATATATAACTTTAAAATGTCAGAAAAAAAAGTATGAAAGGAAAAAAATGTCATTTATCATTATACCACCCTAATATTAGATTATTCTGTTGAAACTATAAGTTTAAAAAGTTTTATTTTCCACACATGTTGTATACATAATTTTATATCAGGATTTCTTTGCTAAAGATATGTTTTCTGAATAGAATTACAGGTAAATAAACATAAGCAAATTGAGAGAAATTTCACATTAATAGCAATGCCAAGATATATATAACATATTATAATTTCCAAGCCTCTGTTGTATACACCACCTTTTCAGTCATAATATTATATTTATTCAATTTTTAATTATAACCAGCTAACAGTTGTAAATATTTAAAATTGGTTGCAAAAGATAGTCTAGTCTGGTTCAGTCTAGTACTGATTTTACTGCTTCAAACTTTTTTTTTTTGCAGTTTTTTTGTCTGGGGCTAGGTTTGAACCTGCCACCTCTGGCATATGGGACCAGCACCCTACCCTTTTGAGCCACAAGCACTGCCCCTGCTTCAAACTTTTTGATCCTCATTTATCTCATGGTATGGAAGTAATTAAAAGATGATAAAACAATTCTGTCAGCCCCTCCTCTCACTGGCCTTGTTATAGTCAGTGATTCTCAGCTCTCCAGATAAAACCAAGCATCACAGTCCAGGAGATTTTTCTAAAGTAGAAACGCCACCTTCCTAATGTGTATACTGTAAGCAGTATTTCCATAATGATTTCCTCCTGATATAACCTAAGCATTTACAGTTATTAATATCAAATATCTAGTTCCTAAATCAACTGAGGTGTCTCCACAAATCCTGTATATCTATTAAAAATAAAGCACACTACTCCAATAAAACATTAAAACTCTTTCTTTTAAAAAATGTAACTGTAATAGTACAGCTTCTGTGTGGAAGGCCTAGAAATATCTCATGATGGATGAAATACTGAGCCAAAACTTAACTGCTGTCAAAAATGACATAAATGCCCCATTTTGTTTAAATAAATTATAAATAATGCCAATAGACAAAAAATGTAAACTTGAAATATATATATATCTGAGACTAAAAAGAATTATTTTCAAAGTAAGTGACAAAATTAAACATTGTTTTTCTACCTAGATGGTGCGACCTTTTCATTTTTGTTCTAAGATATTTTACTCTTTGTATGACTCTGGAGTTTATAAACATGCCACAATTTTTGGTGATTATATAATGACAATTTTACAGTTCTCGTTTAGCATAAAGATGACCAGATAGAACCGCGAAAGGGATTTCTTTTTTACCTTTGTGGAAAGAGACGAAGGAAAATTGAATGCAAAATCTGCATTACAAGCATATTAGAATTATAACTCAGCAATCTGTTACACATGCAGTGAAAAACAGGTATAGCCAAGTGTGAGTTATTGTACTATGGTATTCAGCCAATGGGCTAAGTTAAAAAACCCCTTTGTTTAACCCAGGCCTTGTTTTGTAACCTACAAGGTTCCAGATGCATATGACCTGACACTCTCTCTTATCGTCTCCTCTTGCCAAAGGTACTCAGAGGCAGGACTGTCCCTAGGCAGAATCATGAAGTGGGTGAATCTTAGATTCATTCCCTACCCTTTTGCAAAGACAATCTCACCTTAGATTCTCTCCACGTCCCTGTCCCCAGGTACGTACTCCAGTTGCTCCTTGCTCTGGATGTACCCTCTGTTTTTAGAAGGCTCATATAGTCTCCCCATTGTCCAATCCCTCCTTGATTGTATAATTTTCCCACTCAAAAATGTTCTGTAGCTCCCTAAGAGGAGCTGGGCAATTAATGTCCTCCCTCCTTACCCTCTGATCCTTGTTTTCCACTCTCCTCTCTGCATACTGCAAGCAGATCCATCACTCAACTGGTCATTTTTATTTACACACTTTTTTTCCGTGCTATTCCTTTTGCCTGAGCTCTCACTGCCCATCTCCATCTGTGGACATTGTGCTCGTCATTCAAGGCTCCATTTAGCTGTACCTTATCTACAGGTCTTATCTGCTCACCCCCAGCCTCCTTCCTCTGCACCTTGTCATACCATACCACTCATGTGGCACTTAACACGTCTTGCTTTGTATTATAGTATTTATGTATATGTCATATCTGCAGGCACTGTGCCGGGGGCTTTACAAATGTCTCTTAAATTTTACAGCAATCTGACGAGGTAAGCCTTATTACACCATTTAACAGCAGAGGAATGTGGGACTCAGAGAGGTTAATTAATTTGCCCAAAGTCACACTACTGGAAAGCAACAGAGCTAGGACTTGAACCCAGGCCTGTTTGACTCCAAGACATATTATGCTTTTCACTGAACCGCATTGATATTCACTCAGCTGTTTTCCATCTTCTGAAAGAAGATGAAGAAAGAGGTCTACTTAGATTTTGTGATTAACAAACATGTATTGGGCAAAGAGATAGAGTTCTATAGTCCTAGGGAGAACTTATAGGTTAATTAGAATTCAGGAGGAATTAAAGTAAAATAGGAGAAAAAGAAATTCTTACCTAAGGTGGTTAAAACAAATAAACATGGCTTAAGAAGGGAAGGTTCGAGATAATTTATAATTCAAAAAGGGCTAGATAGCATTGGTCTCTCTCTGAGCACTAGAGTAAAATAAACACAGGAAAAATGAGTCAATGTCGGGTTGACAAGAAAGGCGTCATATAAGTCTCCAGGATTTAGCAATGTGGGGTAGGTAGAAGGGTGAAGATCTGACTGTCATCTTAAATCTCTCAGGAGCTAACTATCTGTCTACTGAATATAAAATCCTCTTTTTTATCATTGTGCTTCTTGTGTGGCACCTTGGATATGTTCAGGGAGAAAAGGCTGGTGCTCCGAGAAGGGAAATCTCACCCCAAATGGACAGCTTTTTGCAACTGCTCTCTGTACTATACAGCCATGGGGTTTCAGTTTAGACCTTGATTTCATTTGGGGGTGCTCAGCCTAGGGTGGGTCTCCTGCCAGTTCCCTGGCACAGACCCCGTCCCTGGGAAGAATTTAGACTGAGGATCAATGTTCATTTCAACACCACTATCTTGTGGCTTGTCCTAAACAAACATCTTTCTTTACTTCTGTCATTTTATTATTCTTTCATTTTCCAATCTCCCAGCTTGTCATATTATCAGTTGCATAGTTCCTTAATATGTATCCTAATGTGTATACTGTAAGCAATATTTCCATAATGATTTCCTCCTGATATAACCTAAACATTTACAGTTATTAATATCAAATAGATATTGGAGAGAGATCCTTAAGTTTAAAGAGGTCACGCAGTTATCATTAAACATGTATTCTCACTGAAACTTTGTTACCTTCTGACGGTCATCACAATTTTGTTTGCCAACTCCATTTCAACTTATGTATGCTACTTTTATACTAATCCCATTCATATCTAGTTCTGTGTTTTTGTTCCTCACAACAAACTTCATGATAATTTAAAAATTATTATTTAGGGAAAATCATGCATGCAATCTAAGCCCGAATATAGCAGGCCATACTGTATGTCAGCTCTGGGTTAGGAAGCTGGAGAATTTTAATTTCAGATGTATGCTAAATCTAAGGAATTCAACAAACCCAACCAAAAAACCACCTCAGTCACACTGTAAAAAGCAAAAAGTCAAACATGAAAGCTTTATTTTTTTTTACCTTCCTTTAAAATGTTTATCTTATCCTCTTTAACAGTCCTCAAAGCTTACTCACTATTTTCTGAAAAGAAAAAGGGGAAATCCTTTTTTATTTTGAAATAATTAGAAATTCAGAAGAAGTTGCAAAAGAAATATACAGGGAGGTCTTGTATAGTTTTTACCTAGATTCTCCCAGTGATTACGTTTTATATAAGTATAGTATGCTATCAAAGCCCGAAATTCGTGTTAATCTAATTCGCTTTTAAATTTGAAAAAACAAAACCAATTCAGCCCAGCAATAACCCGGGGAGTTTTAATTTACATTCTGTATTTTGTTCCTATTTATAAGTGATAACTGTGCAGACAGTCCTGGCAGACAAGGATGGTGTGTCCACACAGCCACAGAGAAAGTTCCCCCCAATAGGGCTGGAGTTGCTGCTCAGGTCTCTTCTAAATCTTAGGCTGATGTTACACAGAGGAATGGAAAGGAGCCAGCACTGGAAGACGTGGGTTGAAATCTGGTTCTGCCTCCAAATGTGCAACCTTGAGCAAGTCCCTTGACCTTTCCAAGCTTCAGTGTCTTCATCTATAAAATAGAGAAAATATTTCTCGGGCCTACTTCATAGGGTTGTTGTGAGGAGCAAATATGATGCTGAAGATGAAGGGCAAGGTAGGCTGAGAAAGAGCAATCCGGAAGTTTCAATTCATCCTGATATTACTGCCAGTCATAGAAGTGTAGTTTTTCAGAGGTGATCTTATTCTTAGAAACAAAACACATTACCTCCTTATTAGCCATGTGGCTTAGAATGCCAATGATATGTAAATGACCTCCCTTTTCTGTGACTCTTAGTAGGACAGGTACTAACAAGGTATCAGCTATGGGACAAGCTCTCAGTGACACATTACCTATACTCCCCTGAGGCCTAGGATCAATTTCTTCTATAAGGCTGAATGCATTACAAGTAGCTTTTACTTTTACCCTGACTATAGAAATAATTCTTACTTCTTTTCATGCCATGAGATGTGCAGTAGGTGTTCTTGACAATAGAGAGAAATTATAAGGATACCAGATTAGACAGTGGATGGTTGATGAAGTAAAAATGGAAATCATCTAAACTGCATTGTTTCTTGTTTTGTCTGGGTATAGAATATATCCTCCCAACTCACTGGTGGATTCTGCCTTGTGGGTAATAAAAAAGCTAGTCTTGGCAGTAAGAGTGGAGAAATATATAGGAGAGAATAAACTTAAATTGTGGAAAGTAAAGATAAAGCTCTTTGTGTGTACTAAATGTTTGGGGCACCACAATAAAAAGTTAAGATCTGTTTTCTTCCCTCTCCCCACCCCCTATGTACAGGCTGGCATGGCTCTGACCTATGACCCCACAGCCGCCATACAGAATGGGTAAGTAGATAACATTTTTCTCTTATTTTAATTGCTAAGAGATCTTTGACCTCGGAGTCAGTACCAAAGACAAAATTTCAAATCTGTTATGCTTTTGTTTTACATCTTTGAACACAAACTTTAAACCAAACATTTCTCATCATTATAATTTTTTCTTCCAATAAGTAAGTCCAGCGTCCCATTCTCTCAAAGCTCTGCCCCCATGAAATACTTCTCCCTCTCTCTATCTTTTCCTGGAATATAGATAAAACTAGGCCGAGAGAATTTTCTATATGTTTATAGGACAAGTATGCTGCCTTGTTAATAGTTCTAGAGTTTATATTTCAATGATTTTTAGTGTGTGCCCATGTTTTTTTCTACATTAATAATACATTTACTCTTTCCTTCTAGTGATCAGGGAGATCATGATAGGCATAAGCCAAGTTAGTAACTCAGGTGATTGTATCTTCATTCTGTATTTTAATAAGCATCTTCAAATTGGTAGCTTCTTACATAAGACAAGTCATAGAGCTCACAACTCATTCTGTGAAAATAAGATTGTTAAACTACATGGTCTGGCTTCTCTAAAATTCTGTGACTTCTGAATACCTTTGCTTGAAACTTTCTTCTTGCTTCCTAATCTTTCTGCTTTGGCTGTCTTGCAATCTATACTGATTATCTGTTGATTGGTTGCCCACTTTATTTTCATAACCTCAGAATTTGGGTTTCTCTATGGCTTTCAGTTGTCTTTCTTTCCATCTCATTGAAGAATCAATCATAAGAAGGGCCTCCTTGAAAATTAGTATAAGGGTTAGAGTGAATTAAAGTCTATTTTCTCTTTGTTCACTGGGCGCTAATGAATATCATACGATATTGAAAACATTGAAGTAATTACCTCTTATTTTTATAGTTATTCATTCAGGCAATTGTCCATTCAGTCACTCAACAAATATCCAGTGAGTCTTCCAGGCATGCTGCTATGTTTTACTCACTAAAAAACATAATGTATGAGACAAGATCTTTTCCCTCAAGAAGCTTATAGTTTACTCTTCCATTAAAAATTAAACATCAGAGGTAGACTAGGGCAGGAGTTTAGTCTTTTGTCCTTTTGTTGATTAAAACTACTCTCCATTTAATCTAAGACATGCTACTAATGAGACAATCTTCATAGTGAGAGAAAATATTTTCATACTATGAATCTGATAAGGGACTAATAACCAGAATCTACAAAGAACTCAAGCAAATCAACAAAAAAAGACCAAACAACCCCAGTAAAAACTAGGTAAAAGATGTGAACAGAATCTTTTCTCAAAGCAGACAAATGGCCAACAGACACATGAAAAAAATGAATATTATCCCTACTAATCAGAGAAATGCACATTTAAACCACTTGGAGATCTCTAACTCCAAAGAGAATAGCCCACATCACAAGATCCCAAAGCAATGGAAGCTGTGTGGGTGCAGAGAGAAGGGAGCACTCCTGCACTGTTGCTAAGTAGTACAGCTTTTATGAAAAGAGTATGGAAAGTCCTCAGATAACTTAAAGTACACCTCCCATTTGATCCTTCAATCGCACTACTGAGCATCAATCCAAAGGAAAAACAAGTAATTTTACTATAAAGACATTTGCACTTGAATGTTTATAGCAGCCAAATTCATAATCACAAAGATGTGGAAACAATCCAAGTGCTCTTCAACACATGAATGGATTGATAAACTGTGGTATGTGTCTACCATGGAACACTATTCACCAATAAAAAGTTAGGAATTTCATCTCTTTTGTAACAACCTGGATGCATTTAGAGGACACTCTCCTCAGTAAAGTATCATAGGAATGGAAAAACAAGCATCACATGTACTTAATACTAAATTGAAACTTTAGATCAACAACTACTTGCTCACAGGAGAGAAATCTCAACTGAATTCAAGAAGGGGGGGTTGGAGATGGTTCAGCACATTGCTACCGAACAGGAACAAGGCGTGGGGATAGGGCACAGATCCTGGGTGAAGGACACAACTACAAAGCAGACTTTACCTTAATAATGCAAACAGTGTAACCTAATCATATGTACCCTCCTATTAATCTTAAAAAAATGTAGATGAACTAAAGAAAAAACTTCCTTTTAGGAGTGAAAATTGATGATAACCTTTCATTTACCCAATAAGAATTCATTTTTTTTTCTAAGGAGCTATACATTTGGGGGGTAGAAAAAAAGTAAAAACATAGGGAATAAAGTACTCTAAAATCACATTGTATAGATGGAGATAAAATATTTAACTCAAAAGGCAAAAAAAAGCATTATGGGCTAAGTGACAGTGGCAGAAAATAAATACTGTAATAGACTAAACGATTAAACACACACTGTTTACAATGTTTTACATTTATCATTTAATGACACATACTTTATAAGTCAAATGAATATATGTGAATATAAATAGAAATTCATTTTGAAAATTTATTCACCGGAAAACAGAGTTAATAGTTAAGTTAATACCTGTAGGCATACTAATTAGATTTAACAAGTGTTAATATTTTGTGATACTTTGCATACATGCACATTGATGTGTGTATTTTTACAGATTGGCCATAAATTACACACGAGTTTTATGACCACCCGGTATCTGTATACACCTATCTATTTTATCAGTGTGCACACACACACAATACCCACTTATAAAAAAAATAATACCTTGTGCCAAAGATTCTGTATCAAGGATTAGAGATGAAGCAATGACCCAGACATGACTTGTTTATGATTCATAAAACTTAGATTAGATATTTTTTGTTTGATCATATCAAAGTAAAATTTAGACATCCTTATCCTTTTCTTCTAAATTATTAGCTCCTCAAAAATAGGGACATTAGTAATGTGATGACAATATCATTATCACATAAAATGAAACCAGTAGTAATTTCAAACTATCATCTCTTACCCAGATTATGTGCAATTTTGCTCAGTTGCCCCCAGAATGTACGTAAAAACTGGTTGATTCTGAAACAAAGTTAAAATGTCTTGTGAAAATACTTTATATGGGTTTTTCATTTACTAATGATATTTCTTTTGAGTGAGTATTAATATTCCTATTTTACAGATAAGAAAATCAGGTCATCCAGACAGTAGAGATGGGAGTTAAATGCCAGCTTCTGACACTAAGTCAAACTTGGAATCTGTCCAGCTAGGATAAAAAGAAAGCTGTGTGGAAGCAATGAGAATTGACATCAATTATCAAAGATCACTTATTAAGGATAGACGTAGGGCAAGTTTCTCCTGTTTTTTTGTTGTTGTTGGTGGTGGTGGTTTGTTTTTTCAAGATAGAGTCTCATTCTATACCCCATGCTAGAGTGCAATGGGTCATCACAGCTCACTGCTCCCTGAGACTTCTGGGCTCAAGTGATCCTCTTGCTTCAGCCTCCCTCTTAGCTGAAAATATAGACATGTACCACCATGCCTGGCTAATTTTTCTATTTTTTATAGAGACAAAGTTTCATTCATGCTCAGGCTGGTCTCAAACTCCCAGCCTCAAGTGATCCTCCCAAAGTACTAGAATTAGCATGAGTCATCATGCCCAGCCAAGGTGCTTTTTGAGAAAGTAGACTGGTGTGAATAAAAGTGACGTTTGTAGGATTAACAAGCCAACTAGTTTTACTGGGGTGAAAATTTCTTGTGAAGAAGATTTGTCAGTGTAGGAAGTTTTGCTGGTGCATACCTGGAAGTGTTAAGCATTTGAATTCTAAGGGATAAACCTGGACAGTCTTTAGTGGGTGTTTGGCAACAGAGTGACACAATATAAATGATGAAGAATATATCGGGGCATGAAGATCCTCTAAGTAGGAAGTAAGTTTTTAAAACAGTCTAATTGGGAAAGGGCAAGACTTTGTTGTAGAGATCTGTGAATGAGAAGGGAACCATGAGGAGAGACATCCTAAAGCACCAATTCACTTGGGCATTAATTTTCAACCAATTTTTCTGCCACCTGCACACTCTCCAGCTCTTACTTATTTGGGGCAAGAGAGAGGTCAGTGGAAGAGAAAAACATAAATCGGAACTCACTTGATGATTTTATCATGTATTTTAGTTCACATAAAATGATCAAATGTTTTTGTTTGTTTTGGTTTCTAATCATTTTGAATGTGATATTTCTTGAAGCAATCTCTAGCATTAAGGTTTCCTCGTGCGTGTCTCACAGCCCAGAATGGTTTCTCTCCTTCCACCTTTCTCATTTCTTCTGCAGCAAACTATGCAATCCTTTGTTGGTTATTTCTCATTTTGTATTATAAAATGAATCGTCCCATTTAGCCTTTCCTCAGGGTCAGAAGATGATGGTCTTCCCCTCCGAAAGTCTGTTCCTCACGTTGCTCATAGCTGAGGAATAAGATTTTTCTTGTAAGAAAGAAAAGCATCTGCGCTTTTTCTCCACTTTCCTTCCTATCAGCTGAGTAAAGGGCATAGCTCCTCATAGCTGCAACTTCTATCAGCTGGAATAATAATTTTTTCCACGTGTGTAGGACCTCCTTCTAAATCTGTAACATCCAGAGTACTGCTCAGCTATGTCTGCTCTTTCCATAAACTTTGTGTATTCCAAAATAACTGTTGCTTTTTCAATGGAACAGGCTGTTTCTTCCTATAACCAGTGATCAACTATATTTGAGGGCCAAAGAATGTATGTAGCATTGTAACTAACCTCTTATTATGGAATAAGAAGTACAAACAAATAAATGTGTTGGACATCTTCCCACACCAGAGTGGAACAGAAAAATCATTATGTCAGACGAGGTACACAGAATCAAAAACATATATCCATCAAACAATTCTCTGTTCAGGACTCTCTCAAGGACTGAGGATGCACTGGTGAATAAGACAGGCCCAGTCTTTGCTCTCCTTCATGGTAGCAATGGAAATCAACATTAACACTTTTTCATTAGTTATGGAAAATAAGCACCCAGTGGTGAAGTGCACAGTGTTATAGAGTTTGATCTTGTGTGAGTGGTTAGGTAAAACTTCTCTGAACAAGTGATGCCT